CTAAAAAGTATAACAACAAGATCCACAAGTTCTCATGCAACTGTTATAAAACGAAAGTAGAGAAGGCCATGCAACTGTTTCTTACATCGATCAATTTAAACCACTCAAGCACATAAACAAAAAAAACCTGAAGAAGACCTCTTTGATAGCTACTGCACAAACCACACAAAGCTGCAACCACAAAGTGCAATAATTGTCTCAAAAGTTTCAAACAGTTGGAACAAAGAAACCATACACATAGAAAGGAGTGGAAGCTTACCTGAAATCTAGTGAGGTGAAAACAAGCTGATCAAGTATCCAAGATATATTATAGAATATGTGAATCTCATGGAATTCTATTCAACATTTCTGTTTACAGGATCAAATAAAAAACACACTTAATGTTGTTAACTACCTCAAGGTGTAGCTATCTGTTGGGTCAATAAATTCCTTCCTTGAACATCTTCAGCTCTGAGACGGATCTTCATGTATGCATGATTCTCACCGTTCTGAAAATAATCAAGACACAAAATCTTCAACCTTGAAGATGTGATACTCGTGAGTACAAAGAAAAGTAGACAAAGGTATGTTAGAAAGATTTCACAACTTACATGTCAGCACGACAAACTGCTAAACCACTACCAAACTGCAGAATCCGGATTGTAGTTAGCTGTTCAGGAAACAAAGCTAAGAGAAAGAAAAAATTCATTAAGAGTAGAAACTTCGATACGCAAATGAAAATATACAAGTTAGTAAAACAATTAAGTAGTGGGTTTGTAAAATTTAGCTTACATTTRGGTGGATATACYATAAGAGCGCTTAATGTATCAGRTTTCACAWAACCTCTAATGATACATATTCCTCTTGCTATTTTCCCCTTACTGCTTATCACCTTTGGGACAAGAACCCGAAGAGTTTCTTTCTGCTGATRCYTGACTCCAATCCAARAGTAATACATGGATCCAGAATCAACTTTTGGCTGAATATCTCTTGACRCGAAGCTAGTCTAACCCCTTTGTAACCCCCAGTTTCCTAAAGAAAGTTAAATAATCAAGTAAGAATCAGTTTTCGAAAGCATACCACTTAAACATATCTTTGGTTACAACAATCAACTCACTTGCCTTGTCTAGATGCAGYGCAGTAATAGGCGTTCGTATAACCTYTWKAAACATTGAAAGACRAGATAAGTCACAAGTATAACAACAACACAGTAGACAATGCAGCAAAGTGTTCTAAACGTACATAGATGCATCCTTTGACATGGGCTCGACGACAAAAGGCTTGTGGAAGTTCTCCTTGTCCATAAATTGGATATATCAATGCCTCCACTGAGTTTGAAAATCTGAATTAGGGAATAGAGGGGTTAAAAACTAAATTACACTCGAGTATAACGAACGAGAATGGCAGAATGTATAAGAGCAAAGAAACAAAGAATTACGAATGACCTGCCAATAGATGTAATGTATAGAGCCAATCGATCAATCCCCTCTTTGGTCTTAAGTGAATCTCTACYAGTTTCTGCAATGGCATACAAGATGATCCTACACAGAAGAAGCTTTACCATCAGCATTTCAAAGACATTATCTTGAGAAACAAAAGCTGTGAAGAAGTGATTTAAGGCTATATGAATTGATTTTGGGTGGCAATGCATCTTTGTCAAGAAATCCACAAATAGAATCTCCATGTCTTCCTCCGATATCCTCACTGTCGACTCATCAATTTCGGTAGTCGAAACCAAGTATTATTCAACAAGCTTGAAGAATTTCATCAGCAGAGCCAAACTCTTGTCCTTGAAGATCGCACCTCTCGAAACCCCGACGAAGCTCTTCACTTTCTCGAAACTTGGGGGCATTAGGGCAGAAACAACTGAAGTTTAACCATT